AGTTTTGCCCTGTAAAATAAAGTAATATTGGCATTTGGTTGATTTAGTCAAATTAAGTTGGTTTTAACCTTTGGTATCATTCTGATGTGTAAGATTGCTGACAGTTACGATAGTACGAGCCGAAATGTGTGGAGCCAACAGCACCACAACGAAACGGTTAGTGCACATGCTGAAGCTAATATTCCCATATATAGTCAGGAAGAAAGACAGAATTTAGAAGTCCTTAATGCATATGGGGAGAAAATGACGCGTTAAAATAAACAATTGTCCATTCATTTGAGCAGCGTATTGGACATAGTCTGTTTACGCTCTGCAATTGGCAACAATGGCTTTGATTCTTCTTCGCAATTTTCGATTTTCTATTTATTTTGCTAATACTAATGGTCTATAATATGCTTCTTTCTAGCCACTCGCACTCTGCACTTCTCTTTATTCTTAGTAATTGACCACGTTCTTGTAGCTTTTGCAATTTAAGTTATCTCAGACTGCATACATCTGCTTCGTTTTGCACTAGTCACACCGCATAAATGTCATCTCTAACAACTAGATTTTTTTGAATCCTAAAGTCTCGAATATAGAAATAGATGAACTAGCACCGATTTATATATGTTAACAATAATGCTCTATTTGTTTTATAAATAGTATTTGTGTCACGTACACAATTAAATTGCCGATAAAAATAAAATCCTCAAGCCACTCGTATAATGAGGTCCGTCGCAACAAGACTGTACCTTAACGTAGTGCGATGGTGTGGGTACTTCATAGACCCATTGAGCTATACTGGGTGATGCCTCCGGGCACCTTGAGAGCTAATCCTACCAGATTGGTCAATGGTGAGAGGTCAGACAAACTCAGTCTCCTGGTCCTCCAGGTTGGGGGTTCGAAATGGAATGGCGTCCATTTCTGTAAAACTAAATCATTGTCAACTCCCCGCTGCCTTGCGGACAGGTTTCTGAGCCAAAGGCTTTAGATAAGGACCCTAATCGTTCTCCTGTCTAGGTCTGAGCGCCCTGGCAGCATCTCAACCCACATACAACTATGACATTTTCTTCAAACATAAACCTCATCCTGCATCGGCCGTCGCGCAGATTATCAAGGGTCGCCTTAGCTGCTGCATACAGCAAGGCGGATAAGCGTATACATGCTACTGCTGGCTTCTCACTCCTTTCTTTTCCACCTTTTTCTCTTACTCCCATCCCGGCCCCCCATTTCTAACCTACCTTCAGGAATTCCCAGCTTTATTGTCAGCAACAGAAGCGCCACTGGAGTAGAACCATCTTCAGCTACCATCCCATCGCACCTATCGGACGCCAATCGGCAAAAGTCTCTTATAAGGCCACGCTATCCCGTTTCCATTGCGACATTCAACGTTCGCACTCTAAGAAAAACAGGTCAACAGGTTGCACTCGCACGCGCTTTGGACACACTGGGTATTGATGTGTTGTGTGTATGAAACTAGGATCAATGACTCTAACGGGGTTATTGAGTTAACTGCACCCGGCTTATCCTCACTTTATTGGTTGCACGCATCCGGAGACGCCGATGCAGCACTCCCGGGTCAAGCTGATATAGGTATCACTCTAAGCTCTAAGGCTGAGCCATTGTTGGTTGATTAGATTCCGGTGAACAGCCTTTTATGTGCAGCCCGTTTGACATCAGCTGATTTGGATTCACGAAGTAATACAAAACGCTGTTTGTTTGTGAATTCCGTTTATGCTCCCACCAACTGCAGTTCAAATGCTGTCAAGGACACATTCTATCACAAACTGCACGCGCTACTACGCAGTGCTACTAGTTCAGATATTCTAGTACTTGCAGGGGATATGAACGCACAAGTAGGGCGTCTGAGCTCTTCAGAAGCTCAGCTGGGTGGTAATTATGGGCATAACTCTGAACAGACTGACAACGGTGAGTGTCTGCTACAATTGTGTGCAGAGCACCAGTTGTTTCTTACTAGCACTGCTTTCAGACACAATGGGCGCCGAAGTGCCACTTGGCGTCCTCCTGTATTTGGTCAGCGATGGACTCAAATTGACCACCTAGCCATAAGTTACAGATGACGTGGTTCCATCCTGGATTGCCGCTCGTACTGGAGTACCTGTGTCGACTCTGATCATGCCTTGGTACGCTGTCGCTTCTCCATGAACTTTACTGAGAGGCACACCATGTGTCCCCTAAATTGGTAACTGAGAAATTGTCTCACTCCTCGGTCAGGCAAGCCTATCAAGAAGCACTGCATACTGAACTTCCGCAGTCTTGTCCTAATGACACTGAGCTTCAGTGGAATAGGATCTCGGCCGCCATGCATGACGCAGGAGCATCTGCTTGTGGCACTATCCATCCTCACAGCACTAGTCACTGGATATCCGAGAGGTCGGTGAACCTGTTGGAATCTAGAAGACACCTCCTGGCTGGCTCTGAACACAATGTGACCAGACGGGCTATTAGGCGTAAACTAAAGCAGAGCCTACGTGCTGACAAAGAAGCCTGGTGGACCAGTAGGGCTCAAGAAATGGAGGAGGCAGGAGCAGTAGGCAATTACCGCAAGCTCTTCCAGCTTATCCGCACCACTGGTCCCAGAAAACCAGGCGTCAGTGAGACAATCAGAGACAGCGCGGGTGCGCAGATACACAATAAGGAGCGCCGTATGGCTCGTTGGGCGGAACACTTTCAAGATCAGTTCAGCTGGCCCCCTGCTCCCGGGCCTCTTCCTACTCAGGTGATGCAGGACGAGCCATGAACGGTTAGTTTAGAGCCTCCGTCGGAAGTCGAGGTCCGAAACGCGATTACAGCCCTCAATCGTTTTATTACCGCCGGCCCGGATTTCCTCCCACCTGCATTAGTTAAGGATGGGGGTGATGTCTTCTGCAAAGCACTGACCTCTTTATTCTTATGTAACTGAAAAGAAGTGTCCCGATTAATTGGAGCGAATCGACTATAGTGGCAATATACAAGAAGGGCAGTCACACAGACTTTTCTAACCATAGGGGTAATAGCCTAACGCCAGTTGTGGCAAAATTACTGGCCTCAATTATCGTTCGTCGCCTCACTCTGGAACAGGAAGCTCGGATTAGGGAAGAGCAGGCCGATTTCCGCCCAGGACGTGGCTGTATAGACCATATATTCACTTTGCGGCAGGTGCTATAGCAGCGCCACGCATACCGCAAACCGACAATAGTTGTGTTCCTCGATTTCAAGAGTGCGTTCGATTCAGTCGATCGATCGATTCTGTTCGAAACACTTGCGCGGAAAGGTGTTCCCACGAAATATGTGAACATCCTTCGTGCTCTATACTCGAACACTACAGGCCGCGTCAGGGTCTACTGTGTCCTATCGGATAGCTTTCCGACCACAAGTGGCGTTCGTCAGGGTTGTCCGATTTCCCCATTTTTGTTCAATTTCGTCGTGGATTCTATCATGGAGTGTTCCCTTGCGGAATCTCATGATGTAGGCGTTGAAGTGCTGCCTGGTGAAAGGTTAGTTGATCTAGATTATGCGGACGATATCGTCTTGCTTTTCGACGATGTTAGGGCGGCCCAATCAACCCTGAATAGCCTGTCCAGAGTGGTCCCATTATTTGGTATGCACTTCGCACCTTCAAAGTGCAAAGTGTTGCTGCAGGACCACCAGCCACTTGATGACCCTTGACGCTTGCTAACGAGGAACTCGAGGTGGTTGATCATTTCACTTATCTTGGCAGCTGCGTCAGCAATGATGGGCACATAGAAACTGACGTCAGCTCACGCATTGCAAAAGCCAGAGCTACCTTCTTGAACGTGCGATATTTTTGGTGACAAGGAAATTTCCCTACGTCTGAAAGGCCGGGTATACAAGACTGTAGGGCGGGCCGTTCTGTTCTATGGTAGTGAGACCTGGCCCCTTCTTTCAGAAGATCTGAGGCTCCTTCAACTCTTTGATCATCGTTGTCTGCGAAGCATTACTGGAGTCGGATGGCACCAGCGTGTCCGCAACGATGATGTGCGTAGGAGAGTGGTGGTGATAATCATGCTAGCTCCCTAGAACAAGAGATAGCATTGAATAAGTTACGTTGGCTCGGGCACGTGCTACGTATGTCTGGTCACCGCTTACCTAGGAGAGCCTTGTTTAGTGTGCCAGGTGTAGGGCGGCGCAAGGCTCGAGGTGGACAGAAGTTGACTTGGCAGCGGGAAATGAAGTCACTGACAACCAAACTGGGTGCCGTTGGTCTGTCTCGCCTTCCGGGCTAGAGTCCACGTGACTCGCCTTTTGCTTAGCTCGAGACTTTACAGGACATGGCTCGCAACCGACGCCAGTGGCGCGTCTGTGCCGTCTCCTAATCGGATTGCCTGTTTAAAGTGTGTTGGGTGCTGAGTTATCTGCGGGATAATGGCTGATTGAGACGCGTGGCAGTGAAAGCCGCAAGGAAACTGTCTCGCCGACGCCGCCTTATCTTTGCACGATAGCCAGCGGTTTGTGACGGGATGTTGTGTACACAAGGTCTAGACGCCTTGACACGGAATGTCTGCTTAGGGCATTGAGGTTTTCCGGTAAGTCCCCCTTCTGTCCCTCTTCTTATTCTTTATTTCATAGGTCCTCATGGTTGTATGGCAGCGAAGCATCAGTTCAAATGGCTGATGTACTGCTGTTGACGATGCTGATGCTGATAATGAGGTCAAAGCATTACTTAATCTTTAATGAATTGTATAACTATTCCCTATCAAGCATGTCCACTTCAAGTTGCCTTATTTCTTCTTGTAATATGTCTATTTAGGTCACCTTCAGATCGATGCACGAAGATACGCATAAAAGTGCAGCACATGTTAATGCCGCAGTTTGTAGGTAAACCACACATATAACTTTTCGGGATATGACCAATGGTTCTGTTAAACTTTTCGTGTGCAGCATTGTAAAAAGGTCTATTAATTTTGTAGTATAAAAGCACAGCAAGAAAACGTTCTAACTTTGAAAACACAAAAAATGTCTAATAAGGCATGTAGCGATCTAGAAAATTATAAACGTACCTATTATTAACGTCGATATTTTCACTCTTCTCCTCGATTACTTTGAGTGCGACTACTTTATCCAGTGCAATTAGGCTACTCGAGTTTTTTAGTATGTTTGCCGTATCATCCTGACTGTAGCTATTACGATCCTCTATTAGCGATGAATTATTGGTGTAATTTGAACTGTCATTAAATTGGCAGGATTCAGCAATACCTACAAATTAAGCGAAGTATCAAACTTACTTATAGGTGAACACGGAAGCTCTGAAATATCGCATATATTACTACCGACTTTAGGAATAATTGTAGAATTCTTCACGTCAGGTGAATCTGCTGCATATCGTTTACATCTTTACGCAAATATCTAAATACGTTCAAAAAGTAGGGGCATTCTCTCCAACTGTAGAATCACATTTTCACTAAAGTTAGCTGCCCATTAAGATTGAAAATGCACTTTATAGACTCACATCCACCTCGGCGTATTTCCGGGCTCTCTCTATCTTCCTTGCAAAGATCATCTTCTTGCACTTAGTATTTTTAAACTTTAATTTACCCATTGCACTTCTCGTAAGCAGCCCGTTGTTGCAAGTTCAAAGACACACAAACTATTATGTCTGTACAAGGTGTGTGACCTGACATGTCCGTCACATACCTAAACGCGGTAAATCATACGGAATTTAAATGTTTGCTTACAAAACTGTCACAAACCGCCTTAGTCGTTATGCTGTAAAATAAATAGTGTGTTGCGTTAAATAAATTCTATTTATATAATTACATGTTTCTTTCTGTCGAATGTGGTAAATTGCATTTGACCAAGATAGCGTTAAAACATACTATCTGCGGATAGCGAGCTCTTGTGATCTCTGTGCAGTTGATTACAACAGTGATTTCCGATTTCCAGATGTGTCTAGGTTACGGCATAGGTGTCACATTTCAGTGTAGTGCTTATTATGTCGTGGAGGCTGCACAGCACCTGCTACAGCACCAGTGATACGCTTTGCCATCTCACTCAGCCTTGTATCTTCCTGGTCATTATCCTACATAGTGACAAGCTCAGAGCAGCAGGAAGGGCAAAGCGCCTAGCTACTAATCGAAGGGCCATATCCTCGTGTTCTTGTCCAGCTTATGCAATGCTCATTAAGAATAATCAACGGCCATCTCTTCGCTCTTCTTCTTACGCTGATACATCGAGACGGTGGCGTCGACTACTCTCCGGTTTCTTCACCTGGTAGAATGACTGACGGACGGGGCCGCCCAACAATTTCGACGGCAGCTACAGTAGGAACGGAGGACTGCTGATCGAAATACAGTTCTTCGCCATCCCGTGAACAGCGTGCAGCCCAGAGTCGAGTTTCCACTTTTACCGCATCTGAAGTTGTTTGTTGCACAGTGCAACCCCCAGCGAGTGAGATCCAATGCTTCTGTATTAAGTGTATCCGCTTCCTAAACGTTTACCGCTACTACTAAGGTCGTACCTGCGTCACAGACTTCGGCAAAGTGAAGTTCAAATTCTAAACATAATTCGAAGAATTCGCAGCTGAAGCTCAATCTTGGTCGAGTTAGCCAGCTTGAGAATGTGGACAGTGAATATCGGCGTCCGCAAGTGCAGCACCCATAGCTGACGCAGCCTTACTCGTGACAGGTGCCCAGTTATTGGGAATGCTCTTGAGTACAACCAGAAGGCTCCTGCTGAAATTGTTCTGAATGATCCAGATTTAATTAATCGTATGACATCTGGTGCCGCCTCGGTGGGTAGCAGGATTTACCATCCAAACCCCTCCCTTAAAAACGTTGGCCAAAGTGAGGACAACGTTCGCCGAATGCGCAATCGAGCTTCTCGGCTAAGCGCAGAAGAGTACCTTTTCCTCAGAAACCTTTCCAAGGAAGATCGGATAAAAAATGGAAATAATGTTTGCGAAATGAGAAACAACTTTTCAGTTCGTGAAATTTCAAGTAATGCATATAGCTCCGAGAAACCGATGGAAGCCAATATTCGTTAGCCCAGACATTAAGTTTAATTGTGTAATTGCGTGTTAGATGTGCGGACACGCGTAGGCAGAGGAATAAACTAAGCAATATACATTTTTCCAACAGAAAACTGGCCGTAAAGGATGGCGTTTACTGAAACCTAGGTGACCTCTAACCTTCCGGACTCTCAGGACTCCATACTAGATTACCATAATCCCTGAGCTCATTATTCTGGAGGGCGATTTGGCTGAGAAGTTATCCTTGACTGGATGGTCGCGAAATTTGTATCCTGCAAGCACAAAGGAACTCCAAGGGTTGAAAACCAACTTCCATTACGCAACAAGTAATCTCAACAAAAGGTAAGCAACATGAGCTAATTTAGAACAGAGGAACTTACGGTTAACCAATGTCGTCTTATTCTCATGCTTCTCCGGTAATTGAGCAGGAAAGGCGCTCCGAAAGCAAACGGGTGCGAGTGCCGTTAATGCAACGATTCATTTTGGACGCGCGCCAAATATGGTTCGATCCCTCTACACCATACCCCGCTTATCAGACAGCGTCCCGTTGCCACGCCATAGCCGTCTTGAGCCGGCACCTGCAGTTCAACTGCTAATTCCCCAGGCGTTTCGTTCGGCGCCCGACAGATTGGTCAGTTTTACGCCGGAATGGGCTAAGACGATTGAAATATACTATTATGGGTTGACTGGCAGTGTTGTTGGGATTTTTGATAACACATGTCACATCCGATATCACCCGCTGAATTATGTCATGTATTATTAGTATCATTATGTAGTAGGTATCATGTAGGGCCCTGCCTACTCACGGGGTAGCTTAACCGGGACTTCTGCGGTTGGTACCTGGTGCAAGTAATCTTGGTCGCCAACCTTCATAAGAGCCACGAAAACACGTCTAACAATCTTTCTCTCGCCGATTACCGTTCCCAAGATAAACACGTGCCGCTCGATGTGTTTGCTGAAGCGAACCAAGAACTTTGCTCCCATACTCTGTCACCTATTAATGGGGCTGTTGTGGGCTGGGTAGTTGAAGGTCTGACGGTAATCGGACTACTCTTCCGGTCCATATAAAAAACGGTGTTTATCCAGTAGAAGCGTGCACTTTGCTACGATATGCCAGCAAGCATTTTGGTAACATAGCGTCTCACTCACTTACCTTTTGATCCACAACGGCCTTCAGTAGAGATTTCAGTCACCGATTCGTACGCTCAGCTTGTCCGTTGTCTTGCGGGTAGTAAGCTGTCTTTCGCTTCTTGTCCATAGAGAACCCACGTTAAACCTCCTGCACCAACAAACTCTCGAAACATGAGCCCCTACCCGAGTGCAGCTGCCCTGGTGCTTCCCAATGAAACACAGCGACTCACCATCACTGTTGTTTCGGTGACTGTATCGGCTTGCGCGATGGGAACTGGTTCGAGCCCCTTAGTTAAATAGTCGACCATGAGCAGGATGTACCGATACCCAAGTGATGTTTCTGGTAGGGGACCAACAAGTGCTACTCACACAACTGCGGATAGCGGGCTTCGGTCGGTTATTTTTGGCTGTGTTGACAAGATCACTTTGTGTTTATTTCTGCCGTCATTGGAATTATTTCGTGGAAATTGAGCTACAGTTAGGTCTCATTTCCGATTCCTGTAACTTCCGACCAAAAATACTTGTGTTTTCGCCTCTTGGTTTCGGCGATCTTGCTGTAGCCCTTTTCTCCGTCGATTGGCCACCATCTTGTTTTCGGTTTATTCATAATATCGAAGCAGCCACCCTGTGGTACTTGCTCCAAATGCATTGCTTGCAAATGCACTCAAGAGTGTTTTGTGCCAAGTTAAATGCCGCATTTCATGTGTTGGATTATCCGTTGAGCATTTTCATCGTCTTGGTGAGTTCCAACACTATTTCTTTCACACCGTATGTGAAAATTGCTGAAATAAGATACAGCCAGGAAGGTTACAGCCAAAATATAGGCCTCAGCGTTTCGTTGCCAACAGCTCTGTGTGTTTAGCCCAACATCCTAGCCCGAAGTGCTTTCAGGTTTCAGCTCAGTCGTCCTCTTCTACCCGTGCAAACCCCCGACATGAAGTCCAATCGTTGTGAGAAGCCCAGTTGCACCCGGCATAAATTGTATACCATTGTTGTGTCCAACGGACACTGGTGTCCCAACAGGTGAGTCTGAGTGCTGAAGACCAGTGGAAAGAACCAAGAACGAAATTACGAAGGGACGTTGGGGGTTTAAGTTCTGTAAGTCAACATGGCTGGCTAGCCGAACAACCTCCTCGTGGTGCCAGCTGGGTGGTTCGGGTAAATCCCGTTCCAGCAAATGTTTCGGCGGCAGGGTTCCAGGATGTGGTGGGATTTCGCCTGGCGAGCGTTCTCCCTATAAAAAGCTACAAGCATCCGTTTAACAACACTGTGACGTGGCGGATGTGACTCGCCATTAAATAAAGTCACTGCCTCTACCATTTTCCGGAGGATCATTCACACATCACGGACGTCATCCGATTCAAAGCGTTTCATTGATTCCCCCATTTAATGGCGAACACAACGAACAAAACCGCACAGAGTCACATTTACCTACTCACACAACAAATCCCCTCATAAATACACAGGTAAACATAGTTTTACATCCCAACACACGCATAAATTCCTATGCTATTTATCAAAAGATCCTACTTTGTGCAATTGCCAATAATGCATGTCTGTAATACTATAATCACGCCCTTGATTGTGTGCCTCGCAGTGACGAGAATAAACTATTTATTTGTTTACTTGAGGCTGGTAGTATACTGCGCCCTGCAAGGCAAATTCCTCCAACCAGAGGCGTTATAATCTAGTGCTCTTCCACGCACCGGACTCCAGTGATCCATCACCCCAAGTGCGCTACGATTGCGACGTTGTTTTTACAGAGTTTACTTGACAGCCTCCTCGAAACTGGTAAGGAATAGGTAAAATTGTAACAAATTACTCGTCTAGGAAAGCAAGGTGCTCAACAAAGGCGGCCAATGTGCAGCCCCTTTGTAGACGAATCCAGTCCAAGACTTATCACGTCCCGCTTAAGTAGGATGAAAGTTTTGAAGATCCATGTTCCTCCAGACCTAAACCCAGTAGACAGGGAGCGGTACAAGCCTGCAATCATTGAGCTTAAAAGACGCACTGGTGAGGGGGAAACAAAATTTCCAATTGTAAATTTTCGGGTGGTTTCTAACAACCTGCGAATCAGAATAAACCTGCTACTCACACTTCAGGCACGTCTGGCGGCTCCTGATGCGGCCTGCGAGTAGCCTTCACAAACGTGCGCAGTATTATGAACAAGCGCGATGAGCTTTGTTGTTTCGTTGCGTCTGAGCGGTCAGACTTAGTGGGACTCGCAGAGATATGGCTGCATGCAGAGTTATACACCCAAGAACCTGAACTCAAG